CCAATTTTCACCTTTAAACATATATTGCGGTTAACGTACTTTTAATTTTCCTGTATATGTGTAGGAGTGTTTAACCAGGATTCATATCCAGGAGTGGAATCACTTCACCAAATTGCTCTTCAAACTGGGTTTTTACATTTGTCAGAAAAATCTTTGTTCCACCCGTGGTACTCCTTGGTTCAAGTCTGAGCATAAAGTGGGATGGCTTTCTATTCAGGCTCTGTTAGAGTTCTCATTTTTCACAAGAGCATGTCAACCTCAGGTTTATACTTTATCAAGGCTAAAGGGAATTACCTGACAAAAGCCATATGTCAGACTCTTGTCAGAGAGAAAGAATTCAAAATCACAGCTAGCCAAGATCTATCAAATACTCAGATGAGACAATAGTAGTTAGGAAAGATCACTTGGGAAATACTCAAACTATCCGCTCTTCTGGATATTGTAAAATGTGGATTAAGCTAGATCCACAGAAGATACACATCATATTAAATTGGTTCCCAGACAAGGGCCTTGCTACTCAAAGTATAGACGAGCAGCATCAGCATCACCAAGGAGATGTTTTCTAACTGAGGTAATCTGACCCCACTCCAGATCTTCAAAATGGGATTTATATTTTAAGATGCTCAAATGAATAACTTGCAGGTACATTTAAGATCCAGGAGCACAGATTTAGAGAAAAACTCATCCTTTTGTTGTTGCTATTTTTGTTCTATGTCCCTGTATTGAAGGGGAAATAAAGTGAAATTTTTTTAAATAGTAAAAATAATGTTCAGGCTGGGGGTGGTGACACATGCTGTAATCCCAGCAGCTCAGGGGCCAAAGCAGGAGGATTTTGAGTTCAAACCAGCTTCATCAACTTAGCAAGGTCCTAAGCAACTTCTAGAACCCTGTCTCTAAATAAAACATATATTTAAAAAAAAAAACAAGGGCTGGGGATATGGCTCAATGGTTAACCACCCCTGGCTTTAATTCTTGGAATCAATAAATAAACAATTAAAGTTCAGGTCAGTGCCCATTTTAACAAATAATAAAGGCTTAATGAGGACCCTCCAGAAAACTGTGTCTGACCTGTGTAGGAAATAGTTGTGCTTCTATTGAATAACAATTCTGTTTCACTGTTTGAAGACTGTCAAATATTGACAGAATAATTAAATAATTAAATAATTGATCAGGATATCTCATTCCTTGGCTACTAATTACCCAAAATGGGACGTGCATAACAAGTATATATTCTACTATAAATGCAGGTGTTTTCAACATTTAATTTGAATTAGCTTCATGCTTGGCTCCATAATATATGATTGCCTAATTGTTGCATATTTTAACTCATATTTTCTTGCTATATTTTACTTATCACTGTAAGGTTCCTGAACTTTCATTTGGAACAAGTGTACAAAAGAGTAGAATACTAGTTGGTAGCAAATTATACCAAATGAGTATTCGTAGTTCTCAGCACTGAATACATTCTACTTATACATCATCCCATAATATAAAAATGCCCAAAGAACACAAATCCCCAAATATCTCTGCCTGATTGAGTGTAACATTGAATTTAAAGTAATGGAAATTCTAATATTTATTCTGAGTTTAAATATAGTTTGGTAAATAAAACATATTTAGAGTGCTAACACTGTGCATAAATAAAATTTCAATGCCAATACTATGGAGGGGCCACTGGAAACAAGTTATATAATCACAGGAAATGAGTTTGCCTGTTCCTAGCATCACAATCCAATTTGACATTTGAATATCCAACATTAAAATCTCTTCAAGTAATTTAATTTTTGCAAATATTTCTTGAAATGTTTAATCCTTCATCAGTTATAACTGAAATGTAGCCCACATATACTGTTATTAAAATGAGTAGACATGTAAATGAAAACTGGGTATACTATTTATTAGCAGTGTGACTTGTGCAAAATACTCACCTATCCACAAGTTTCAATTTCTGTAGAATATAGTAACAATATACACTACCACACATACTTGTTGAAGAAATTGAATGAAATAAGCTATGTAAGTGACTGGCATAGAGCCTGTTGATAATGAAGGGCTATTGTGTCCCATGGCTATTAATTAACCTAATACCTATTTTGTTTTCCTGTATATTCAATAATGACAGGATTAGAGAAAATCTAGAAAATATTTTTCAGAGTTTAATATTAACAGCTACAGAGTAGTCCTTAAATTAACCCATATCTTAGTGTTGGACATTGTTTATTATTTAACACTCATAAATAATGCTAAATATATACATATACCTGTGTGTGCCCTGTTTATTATTTCTTTGTACAGAATATACACCTAGAAATAAAACCATTAGATTATATCACACTTCTATTTTAAGGTTATTGATATTCATTGCTAAATTGCCATTCAAATATATATTTTTATTTATAAAAATATACAATATTTAGTCTTAATCCTAAATCATGATTGGTATTGAGTATAATTAAATAATAATTAAATGCATTAAAATATGTGAGAGAAATTTAGAATTGAAGAGATATTTATGACCAATTTGGCCTCAACAGTAGTTTCTTCTTCTTGATCAATTTCAGTTTTTTTCCTTATTGTAGTCTGTTGAATGTCTTTTTATTTTAAAACATTAATTTTTACAAATTTAAAATTGCAATCTCATTCTCAGTTCCTTTGATACATAAATCATCTCCCAATCTCTACCTTTTTTGCAAACCAGCAATGTCTGTCTCAATAACCTGAGAGCTATCCACTTGAAGTGCAGTCATTGAGAATTATAGGGTCACAATCTCTGTGAGAGGGTAGGAGTTGAACTTCAACATAGTTTTTGAAAGACTGGCCAGAGCAATTAGACGAAAAAAATTAAAAGGATATGTATAGGAAAAGAAGAACTTAAATTAGCACCATTTGATGATGATACGAAGTAGCAAGATATAAAATCAATACCCTAAATCAAAGGTATTTCTGTATATCAATGACAAATTCTCTGAGAAGGAAATGAGGACTACTACCCCATTTACAATAACCTAAAAAAAATAAGATAATTGAAAATCAACAAAAGAGGTGACAGATCTATACAGTGTAAACGAAAGGACCCTAAAGAAAGAAATCAAAGAAGAAAGATCTACCTTGCTCTTGGATAGGCAGAATTAACATTATCAAAATGACTATACTACCAAAAGCACTATACAAACTTAATACAAATCCGATCAAAATCCCAATGGCATTCCTCACAGGAATAGAAAAAGCAATTATGAAATTCATCTGGAAAAATAAGAGACCCAGAATAGCTAAAGCAATCTTTAGCAGGAAGAGTGAAGCAGGTTGGCCTCACTATACCAGACCTTAAACTATACTACAGAGCAATAGTAACAAAAGCAGCATGGTTTTGGCACCAAAATAGACTGTTAGACCAAGGTACAAAATAGAGGACACAGAGACTAACCCACAAAACTACAATTATCTTATATTAGACAAAGGTGCCAAAAACATGCATTGGAGAAAAGATAGCCTCTTCAACAAACGGTGCTGGAAAAACTGGAAATCCATATGCAACAAAATGAAATTAAACCCCTATCTCTCACAATGCACAAAACTCAATTCAAAGTGGATCAAGGACCTAACCCAGAGACTCTGCATCTAAAAGGTAGGCCCAAATCTTCATCATGTGGGATTAGGCCCCAACTTCCTTATTAAGACTCCTATAGCACAAGAATTAAAACCAAGAATCAATAAATGGGATGAAATCAAACTAAACCATTTCTTCTCAGCAAAAGAAACAATCTGTGAGATAAACAGAAAGCCTACATCCTGGGAGCAAATTTTTACCCCTCACACATCAGATAGAGCACTAATCTCTAGGATATATAAAGAGCTCAAAAAGCTAAACACCAAAATAAATAAATAAATAAATAACCCAATCAACAAATGGGCCAAGGACCTGAACAAACACTTCTCAGAAGAGAATATAAAATCAATCAACAAATGTATGAAAAAATGTTCATCATCTCTATCAATTAGAGAATTACAAATCAAAACTACTCTAAGATATCATCTCAGTCCAGTCAGAATGGCAACTATTATGAAGATAAACAACAATAAGTGTTAGCGAGGATGTGGGGAAAAAAGGTATACTCATACATTGCTGGTGGGTCTGCAAATTGGTGCAGCCAATATGGAAAGCAGTACGGAGATTCCTTGGAAATCTGGGAATGGAACCACCATTTGACCC